AATAATAATTTATAAATTATTAAGGGTTCATGAGGGAGGAGGGAGCGGGGAGGGAGGGGCAGGGGAAAAAGGAAAATGAGGAGCTGATTCCAGGAACCCAAGTGGAAAGTGAATTTTGAGAATGACGAGGGCAACAAATGTATGTGTGCTTTACACAATTGATTATGTATGGGTTGTGATAAGAGTTGTATGAGCCCCAATAAAATGATTATTTTTAAATGAAATTGTTGACCACTTCCATCTTTTCTCCATTTATCAGGATCTTCTAATTGGACCAAGGGTGAGGATTATGTTTACTTATGATAAGGTATAATCAATACTGAAGGCTATAGGATGAACATGTGCATTAAAGGGGAAATTTAATATTTGTTTCTACATGGGAATCTTCCCATCCATGAACATGATCCACAGACATGGTGTTTTTTCCAGCTAGTCGGTCCTTCTTAAGTATCTTTTGACAAATGTTTATATTTTTCTCCATTTATGCCTTAAATATTCCTTATTAAGTTTAGCTCAATACATTCTCCAGAAAATAGAATTATCTTGTTGGTTGTTTTCTCCTAAGAATGGGATCCTTTTGTTTTCCCCCTAAATTAAGTTTTCCATTTCCTACAGGTAGGTACGACCGTTTGTCTGCCAGTGTGTCCTACCGTGGTGGCTGGTGCGGGGCTGCAATGCTGGAAGAATGTCACTGTGTTTCAAGTGCCAGCAGGGTGACCCACAGTGAACAGGCTCCAGTAAGGCTTCCAGAATAAGAACGGACGGCAAAGAAGGAATAGACGGTCCACTTCAGAGGAATCAGCCACTGACCACCTTGTCAGACCCCGAACATTGTCAGAGATGGTGCCAGAAGATGAGCCCCTCAGGTCAGAAGGACTCAACATGTGACCGAGGAAGAGCTGCCTTCTCAACAAGAGACCATAATGAGCTACGGGGGGCGGGGCCTTTGGTATCTTCATTTGCTGATGGGGCAGGACTCAACCAACATGAGAGAAACAGCGGAAAACAACGGACACAATCGTGCTTGATGAACGTGAGGAGGACTTGAAGCACTTGCTGATGAAGGTCAAAGATTGCAGCCTTCAGTCTGGATGACAACTCAATGTCAAGAACACCCAGACCCTCGCCCTTGCCAGGCTCAAATGCCCATTGATTTCCTCCCCCAACGCTAGCACAACCCCTATCATAACAGAGGGGCTTACTTGGGTCTTTGACAAGAACGCGTGAGTTTAAATAATTGCATTTTCTTTTCCTGAATGATCTGTATTTCAAGGCTCTGCAACAAACTTGGCCACAAAGGAGCCCTGGTGGCATAGTGGTTATGCATTGGGCTGCTAACACCCACAAAGTCAGTAGTTCAAATCTACCAGCTGCTCCGAGAGAGAAAGATGAGGCTTTCTGGTGCTGTAAAGAGTTAGACTCTTGGAGACCCTCAGGGCAGTACCGCCCTGCCTTATAGTGCTGTTATGCATTAGAAGTGACTCAGGGCAGTACTGCCCTGCCTTATAGTGCTGTTATGCATTAGAAGTGACTCAGGGCAGTACCGCCCTGCCTTATAGTGCTGTTATGCATTAGAAGTGACTCAGGGCAGGGAAGGAGGGAAGGCCTGAGCAGGGAGGAGAAGAGGAAGCTGGCCTGTACAACATGCCTGTAAGTATCGCCCACCGGGGAGGGCACATTCCCATCCACTGAGCGAGGCACTTCCTGTTTTTTATATAGGATGGTATCGAGTTTTGCCCCCATTGTTCAGATGAGGAAAGTCTTCCTACAAGTAATTTGCCCACAGCTCCGTGGTAGGAGATGGGGCTGGTGAGGACGGCAGGCTGGAGGAGAAACCCGCTAAGTCCACAGGCCTGTGGATGGACACGATGACAGTGGGTGAAGGAGGAGGGTGACCCCAGAAGGAGGCTGATGCTCAGGGCCCAGCGGGAAGGAGACAGCCTTTCTTTCCACGGAGCCCTTTGCTGAGCCAACTGCAGCCCAGGCTGAGACGTTGCTGAAAGGGGACGGGAAGGGTTGGCCCTACACGAATCAGGGCGTGGCCCTCTCCCGAGCACACCAAAGGCCCCTGTGGCCACTGGAGCACGGGAAGGACCCAGTTCTAGCATTCTCCAGCTGTGTGACCTTGGGCAAGTTGACCTGCAACATGAAGCGGACCACCTGGTCCAGAAAGAGGAAGGAAATACTTTGTCACAAGAGTCATGTTCCACATGGATTACAATTGAGTAAGGCGGATCTCAACTCCTCCTCACCATCCACAGAGAAAGGAAAGACGGATACAGTATTTTGAAAACCGGCGGCCCCCTAAATGGGGCAATCCCATTAGGGACAAGGGACATTTTGGTTAGCGGCCAAACACAGCCCATTCTGGGTCCAGGGCTTCTGTGAGATCTGTTAGGACTTAGTGTCTAAAACCAACACGAGCTGTCTTGCATGCCGTCTACGATGCGCACTCACTCACACCGGCAGAACTCTGTGATGAAGGTGCCATTGCATGTGGTGACCTTAGGGCAGCGCAGTGCTACGTCTGTGGCGGCTAACTGAGAAGGCTGGCCGTTGAAGCCACAGCTGTTCTCGGAGGACGGCGCCCGTCTGCTCCCAAGGAGAGGGCAGCCTTGGAAGGCAGGCAGGGCTGTTCTCTTCTGTCTACAGGGCTGTCATGAATCAGAATCAGGACTAGAGAGCAAAGGGGTTTTGTGTGGGTGGGTGGGTATTTTTTGGGGGGTGGGGGGACTATGTCAACCAAATAGGACAGAACAACAACCCCAAACAAAGCACCACCACTGCCCTCCTGCTGACTCCAACTCATAAAGACCCGACACGGCAGGGTAGAAACACTCCCAAGGGTTTCTGAGACTGTAAATCCGTATGGGAGTGGGCAGCCTCGTCTTTCTCCTGCAGAGGAGCTGGTGGGATTGAACCACCAACCTTGCAGTTAGCAGCCCACTGCATAGCTTCACCCACCAGGGTTCCCTGAGACACAGAGCAGCAGCTAACATTTGTTCAGTGTTGGTCTCGGTATTTACCATGGTTAGCTCGTGCACCAACGTCTCAGAATGAGTTTTACCAACCCCATTTCATGGACCAAGAAACTGAGGGTGGCCCAGGGCAGAGCCCGGTCCCGTGGGTGGCTGGTGGATGATTGGGGGCTGGCAGAAGGTCTTTTCCTGAAATGAGCTTTAGGTAGACCATCTCATTGCGGGCTCCTCGGTGGTCTGTACGGAGGAACGATTGTGAGGACGGCGCAGGACTGGGCAGTGCTTCGTGTTGTCACACACGGGGTCGCAATGAGTTTGAACCAACCCGACGGCCCCTAACAACAGCTGGGACAGATGTCTGTCCACACGGCGGTGGAGGAAAGCAAGGCTCAGAGAGGTGCTACACCAGGCCCAGCCACACAGCCAGCCAGGGCAGAGCCTGGTCTGAGCTCAGAGCCTCTCTCTGCTGCTCTGCCGTGTGGCTGGCCTGCGGGCACAGCTGTGTTCCTGAAGGTCAAGCATGAGCGCCTCTACCCCCACCCCTCCAGGTTCCCGCCGGGCTCCGCTATACTCACTGCAGGAGCGTGTCCCAGGCGGGGTCCGACGGGTAGCGCTTGGATTCACCCAGGTACAGAGACCGGTATCGCTGTCGTCTGTCCTTTGTCTCAAACAGCCAGGTGTTGAGGTAGCGGCCCACGCCGACAGGATTCTGTACAGGACAGTAGTGCGGGGACCAGCTCTCAGGCCTGCTCTCCACTCCCTGCCACCCACACCCCATTCCTGGATCGCAGAGGCAAGCGGGCACCGCAGAGAGGTCCCGAGGGGAGGTGGACGTGACACGTATTCAGGGTCACATAGCAAGGGCAAGATAAAGGCAGGATGGGAACCCAGCTTCCATGAAAGGCCACAGGGCAGGCTAGAGAGGAGGTGGGGTATGCATGTGGCGACTGGGGAACTGGTTGGGGGTAGGGGGGAGGAGAAGCCAGTCTCCAGCCCAGCTTTAGTGAGAGCTTGCCCTCCATGAGAGACAGGCCTGCTGTGTGGATGTCCAGGCTGGCAGTGGGCAAGCTGAGCTCCAGGAACCCGACACCCACAGCAGCCGTGGCCACCCCTCAGAGCACTGACCCCACCCAAGGCAGCAGCACAGTCAGCTGGCTCTTGTCTACACCTGTTACGTGAGGTCCCCCAGGGAAGGGCCGCCTCCCCGCAGAGGTGAGGCTGGAGGTGAGAAAGGGAAGGGGATGGAGGCAGGAAACTGGGGGTCAAGCACTGGGGGCCGGGCACCCAAGAAGCCAGGAGGAGCTGCTCACGTGTGGGGATGTGGGAAGGGGCAGCGGGAGCAGCTGGGCAGGCAGATACCCAGGGAGGCCTACAGAGATCTCACAAGCATAAAGCAGTTCAAAACCAGGCAAAACTGCATGACGAGAAGTCAGGACAAGGGCTCTCTGGTTGGAGAGGGGGGCGAGAGGGGGCACACAAGGGGCTTCAGGGTGCTGGAGTGGCCAACATGGGTACCATGCATGTGTCTTTGTGGTGACAAGTTAGGGAGCTGTTCATCAGGACGCATGCACCTTTCTGCATGATGATCAAACCCCAAGACCACCTGTCTGTCAGTGCTTTGTACTGTGGTGGCTTGTGTGCTGCTCCCATGCTGGAAGCTAGGTCACTGGTATTTCAAATGTCAGCAGGGCTAGCCAAAAGGAACGGGGTTCGGCAGGGCTTCCAGACTAAGAACAGACAACGAGTGAGGACTAGGCTCCCCACTTTGGAGGAAGAAGCTGCTGAAACCTTATGCGGAGCTACGAAGCATTTCGGAACACTGAAAGCCTAAACAAACAAGCAGAACATTGTTGGAGAGAGGCGGCAGACGGGCCCCTCATGCCCAGGGGCACTCGTGTCCACTGACAGCTGCAGGGGAGCCGACCCTGGGGAGGTGAGCTGGGTGAGGCCGGTGGGAGTGGAGCCTGCAGGATCTTCATTTGCTGATGGGACACGACTCAGGTAAAGAGACATCACTGCAAACATCTTCCAATGTTTGGACCTATGAGTGTGCAAAGTATGCTTTTATGAAAACTGGAAGTGATCAAAAATGAAGTGGAACCATGAAGATCAATATACTAGGCATTCGTGAGCTGGAATGGACTGGTATTGGCCATTGCGAATCAGAAAACCATGTGATTTACTACGCCAGGAATAACACAGTCAAGAAGAACGGATTGGCATTCATTGACAGAAAGATCTAGCTAAATCCATCACGTGATACAACGCTACCTGTGAGAGGATTGTATCTATCCACCTTCAAGGAGATCCAATCAATACAACTATTAGTCAATGTGAGGCACCAACGACAAAAGCTAGTGATGAAGAAATGGAAGATTCTACCCATAACTTCAGTCAGAAGCCGATCAAGCGTGCAATCCAGATGCGTTGATAGTCACTGGTGATTGGAAAGGAAAAGCTGGAAACAAAGAGGAAGGAACTATGGACTTGGTGATAGAAACGATGTCGGAGATCCCATGACAGAATTTTGCAAAACCAACAATTTGTTCATAACAAATACCTTTTTCCAGCAACATAAAACGTGACTATACACATGGACTTCTCCAGATGGACTACGCAGAAACCAAATTGACTATATCTGTGGGAAGAAACGCTGTAGAAGTTCAATATCAGCGGTTAAAACCAGACCAGGAGTCAACTGTGGAACAGACCATCAATTGCTCTTTTTTTAAAAATTGTTTTATTAGGGGCTCATACAACTCTTATCACAATCCATACACACATCAATTGTGTAAAGCACATTTGTACATTCATTGCCCTCATCATTCTCAAGACATTTCCTCTCCACTTAAGCCCCCGGCATTAGGTCCTCATTTTTCCCCTCCCTCCATCAATTGCTCTTACGTTAGTTCAGGATAAAGTTGAAGAACATTGAAACAAACCCACAAGAGTTAAAAGACGTCCTTGAGTCTATCCCAGCTGAATGTTGAGAACATCCAAGAACAGAGATGATGCATGGAACACGGATGACAGAAGCCCGGAGGAGCTGTGAGAGGACACCAAGACCATCGTTCCTGAGGAGACCAACGGTCCTTGAAAAAGGCAGGAGAGGGAAGATCAAAGTGGGTGTCGGAAGAGTCTCCGAACTTGATCTTCATCACAGAGCAGCTAAAGCAAATGGAAGAACGGATGACGTCAAGGAGCTGAACAGAAAATGTCAAAGGGCAGCTCAAGAAGACAAAGCCAAATATTACAACGGAATGTGCAAGGACCTTGGGGGGAAAGACAGGATCCAGGCTCACGCTGAGCATCAGTTTCAGGCAGGCAAGAAGGGGTTGGGGCTGTCTGTAGACAGGGGAGAAGGCCCCCTTTCTGTCACCGTGTACCGCCGCCCTGCCCCACCTGGGCAGCACCGCTCACCCAGCTCCCCGTAAGTATCTGGTAGGACTTTGTGCCCAGCCGCTTCGAGGACATCAGGAACGGTGGCCTGTTGACGTGTTTCTGCTCCGCCTCTTGCTCAACCCAGGTTCCGGGACCAGACGTGGCCTAGGAGTAAGCGTAGCTGCTGAAGTCTAGAGGCACAGGGGGTGGCCAGCCCCACCTGGAGCCAGAACAGGCGATGGGGGCTCCTGGCAGCTGACCTCAACCACCTGGCAGCCCTAGACCTGGACCCAGGGGTGGTGGGAGGTGCCCAGCTGTCTTCCAGCCATCCTCCCCTGGTGAAGGAACCCTGTGAGGGCACCCATTCTCACGCTGACTCAGCAGCCTAGATCTCCCGCCAGGTTCCCCAGCGCCCTCGTGGCCTGGCAGGGCCTGGAGAGGTGCTTCACCCTCCAGTCTGAGTGCCGGGCACTCAGGCTTTGGAGCTGGATGTGCAGCTCCTCTGTCCTCTGCCCCCTGCTGGGGAGCCAGGGAAAACATTTTTTAAACTTTCTTTTGTTTTTTTAAGTCCCACTTGGGTACTTTTATTTGCCTTTATTTGTTTTTGAGCAGCTTTATTAGCATATGACCCACAGATCATACAATTCAATAGTCCAGTCGTATTAGGAAGAGTTATACAATCACTACCACAATTTTTTGTTCATTACCACAATTTTAGAACACTCTCCCTTCTTGAATCATCCTTACTAGCTCCCCAACTCCCCCCAACCTCCCCT